CTGAAAGAAGAGGCCAGATTGAAAAGATCCTGGTATGATACATTAAGGGAGCTGGATGTCATCCAGTAGGCAATGGAGATCCAAAGCAGGGTTTTTGTGGGGGGATGGATGGCATAGTTAGGATGTAATTTTAGAAAGATCATTTTGACAGACGAGTGAAGGAAGAATAGGAATGGCACAAACTAGAGGCAGAGAAGCTAGTAAGAATCTGCATCGGAGAGTAAGAGAGTGATTCTTTCCGGGAAAATCATTACAATTCTTATGTTTGAACCTACATATTTGAATCTAGTATGTTCAAATACCTACATACTTACTATGTAGATTCAAATATAAGAATAAAATAAGCAGAACTAGATATGAACTGAGAGTGTGGTAAAGATATGAAGGAAAAGAAAAGAAGGGGAACAGATCCAGGTTTCTGCTCCAGCAGAGGCAGAACTGAAACACTGAATAACTAGGGGAAAAATAAGAACCATCTTGAGAACAGTCTAGGACAAGTAAAGGCTATAAAACATCTATGGTGGCAATAACTTAATAGTGAAATTAAGTGAAATGTGACAACATAATTCTCAGGAGAGCAGCTTGGTCTGAATACATGAAAAAGTGGGAATAAGGTGGACAGTTTGTAACTACAAGTTCAGGAAAAATGTGATCAAGTCCTGAGCCAGAGGTTTCTTAAATACTATATACTTTACTGTACACAAATTATCCACAATGCAAAGGAAAACACAAGGACACAGAGAAACCACACAACACAGAGTAAAAGACAATCTCAAATCTTGGTCAGCAGATAAAATGTAGTCTCTATGCCAATCCAGAAAACAAATTAAAACTGAAAATTAAGTTTAAGCTTAATGAGGGTTTTTTACCTCGGTATTTAAGGAAAAAGTAAAGCAAGAAAGTCACGTTCCATGTTCTCATGCCCATCCCATTTCCCCTGAACAAGTCATTAACCTAGTAAAGACTTGCTGAGTCTCCTGTGCAGCAGGTCTTAGCTCCTCCTCTAACAAGTACCATTCCTATTCCTAGGGAAATATCCTCATCTACGCAGTTCTCAACACACAGGCCTTGCTCAGGTCTCCCCAACCTATTACCATTATTATAATCCATATTCTCAGTCATATTTCCCCATGATTATCTACCTCTTCATTAATCCACATGCCTTGAATTCCATCGCTGGGGATGCCTAGGGAAGAAGATCTCTGTCAGTATGAAGTCAGCCTAGCCTACATAGAAAGTTCCAGGCCAATCAGGGCTATACAGTGAAACTTTAGTGGGGAACCCAAAACACAAAAACATACAAGTCTTCTTTGAATCTTAGTTTCTAAAGTCTAGACAAATATCAATGCTGAAAAAAATGTATGTGTATGCTTTTCTTTTATAGAGTTTATAGAGTCCTTAGCCATGAACTCAATATAGGAAGAAAAAATGTTTACTCTCCTCCCCGTTAGAAATGAGGTAACCACTGAAGAAATCAGTAAAAGTGGTTTCGATGAAATAGATAAGAGAAGAAGTCAGATACAGCAGTTAAGAAGTAGAACTAGGGGATGGAGAGATGACTCAGTCGTTAAAAGCACTGGCTGTTCTTCCTGAGTTCAATTCCCATCAACACAATAGTGGCTCACAGTTGCCTAGAGTGATCTGATGCCTTCTTCTGGCATGCAGATGTACATGCAGATAGAGTACTCATGTGCATAAAAAGAAATCCTTAAAGAAAAAAATGGAATCACCGAGAATAGAAGGATTTTGAGAATTTTTTTTTCATATACTTGGGAACTAAACCCAGTCTTTTTGTTTGTTCATTTATTTGTTTTTCAAGAGAGGATGTCTCTTTGTTACAGTTCTAGCTGTCCTGAATCTTACTTTGTAGACCAGGCTGGCCTCTAATTCAGAGATCCACCTGCCTCTGCCTCCGAGGCGCTAGGGTGAAAGGTGTACATAACCAACACCAGGCTCAAACTCAGGGTCTTATGTATGCTAAACATGTACTCTACTACTGAGATATACCCCTAACCTGGGCAATGTTATGAAGAAGGGACGAAAACCAAATATAAGATTGGAGAGAAAAAATAAATAAATCTTTCAAGTTTTTTTAAAAATTTTTTTCAAATGAGTAAAAAGCCTGTTTCTGTGAAACTATACTTAAGTCCACATATATATGTACATATACATAAAAATATATGTACATATTAGCACTTGTGTGTGCACATATATGTGACGGCCAGACTACTTTTGAGGTAATCCACCACTAAACCTGGAGTGCACTGATTAGGCTGGTTGACCAAGCCATGAGCTCCATGAAGCAGCTTGTCCCTGCCACTGAAGACTTAGAATAAAGGCATGCTCTGCTGCACCTGTTTTAGAGGGTGGCTGGGCCCTCATTTCAAACTCAGGCACTCATTTCAGCACAGAAAGCCGATAAATCAACTGACCCATCTCCCAAGCCAGCTCATGAAGGAACATTTTTTAATTAGTAAAAGAATAGGGGACTCCAATTGTAGTTATCAACGGAAAATATAGTATTTCTAATATATCTGAGAAATACTAAACTAGTCAAATTCTTTTAAATTTGAAAATTTATTTTTATTTATGTTCATATGTGTCTGCCTGCTTATCCGAATGTGTTCCCCATGCATAAAGGTGCTCATGGAGGCCAGGGGTGTCAGATCCCCTGGAATCAGAGTTTCAGATGGCTGTGAGCCATAGTCAACAAGTACTATTAACTGTTGAGCCATCTCTCCAGCCTCTTTGAGAACAATACTGCAATGTAGGCCAAGGCAAGTAAAGAACTATCAGCCAAAGAAAATAGGGTGTGCAGGGTTTTTTCCTGAACAATGTCTCAAAAAAAAAAATTGTCACTCTCTGCCTTTAATACCTCCTCCTTTGTTTGAATTAGTTTTTATTTACTTAATCTTCATGGGCCTGCTCAAACTCTACCTTACAAAGTCCAGGATGCTGATGACTGAAGTGTTATGATCAGAGTTTAAAAAAATGACTGGAGAGAGAGGGGGGAAGGAGTGGGGGCAGGGGGGAAGGAGTGGGGGGAGGGAGAGGGAAATGGGAAGCGGGGAGGAGGCAGAAAATTTTTAAATAAAAATAAAATAAATACTTTTGAATGCAAAAAATAAAAAAAAGATCTGCTTCTAAACACACTCGGGGCATGTGCCAAAGTTGAAATTAGGACCTTTTCTTTCATTCATGTCCTTTCAATTAAGGTATTATTCCCTTAATTATGTATATAATTTAAGGTTACCATAAAGCCTTACAAATTAAAAAAATTAAATGATGGAGTCATAGTAAGATCTAAGGTAATAATCCTGAAAATTTGGGGTTCAACTACAACTTTACCTGTGAAAGTCAAGTACCAACAAGTATTTGGTTGTGCAAGTAAAAATTACAGATGTCAACCGCTATTTATTCTGTAGAAAAGCTGTCAGTCACTAAATAGGATCTCTTTCCACAGTACACATTCATTTCAGCCTCTGCCAGTGGAAGTGTGAGAGCAGATGTTGGCAGACTGTGACATACAGTATGTCTTTAAAACTTGTTGGGGTGTGAAATTTCATAAGGTCAAAGAATGCTGCATTTTGATCAGCAGAGAAAGATTTTTCTGCACTTTCAGAAATTATTTCAGACAAACCAATAGAACTGCTCGTAAAATAAACAAACTATTTAGGCAGTACATGGAAACTGCTTAAAAGATTAATTTCTATCACCTTAATAAACAACTGTTCAACCAAAATACCTTTAGACTGAAAATACATATCTTAAAACAACTTAAAAACTCAAAAGATACTGTTCCAATTGTCAAAATGATTTAAAATAATTTCTTTCTTAGTAGAGCAATTAATATATAATGAACATGTTTTGATGCTGAAAAGGCTGTTTTCCTTAATACACACATGAACAAGCACATACAAAAAAATGTGTATGTATAATTTATATAATGACAGGGAGCTTTCATTTCAAAACTAAAAAAAAAAATCCACAAGAAAATTTCCTGACATGAATGAAGAGGATTTCAAATTAGTTCTCAGGAAGGATCTGGGAGACATATCCAAGAGGGTAACGGGCATGACCAAAACATGTTGCATATAAAAAACTTTTAGATAAAAAACCTGGAATAATAAAGTTAGTATTCTACAATTATTTGTAATTCCATACTCTTTTAGGTTTATTTTAAAAACTGAAAATAAAGTTGAAGTTCCTATAAGTTAAAATTAGTTTTGTAATACTTAAATGTTTTATAAGATTTTCTTTATAAGATTTATAATTATGTTTATAAACTTCAGTTTTACCTCCAATTTTTTTCAACTATATCTAACAGATAAAATCCAATTAAAACAGAGTACAGGAGATTGTCTAGTTAAAATTTTTATCTCTGCCTAGTTCTTACATACTCAAATTTGAACTTAAAAAATGCTCTATCTAAATTAGCACAGCAAGATCCTTTTATTGGATCAGTAAGTATAAGCCATTTAAGAGCTTGGTCATAACATAAAAATAAGTATAAAAATAATCAATGTAATATTATCACAGTCATTTTGTTAACTATTAATAAAAAATACAACTATAACTAAAAATATAAAATAATTTTAGAAAATGATTTCTAATAGAAAACATTTATATAATCAATCAACCAACCAACCAAACATTGCAACGGAATTCTGGAGGAAATGTAGTAAATAACATAAGATATTAGGCCCAATTTTACAGTTCCTTATGTTTATTTTATAATGAAAAACATAAGACACATAGTTGGGCAATTATATTTTTCACATTCAAACTCTAAATATAAAATAATAAAACTATATTTCACTGCATAAGATTGAAGTCTCTATCTTAAAGAGCTGAAAATTCTTGCAGAGTTTATAATTTCTTTGGATTTAAATGTAAACCTAAACTTTTGTACTGGTTTTTCAGATACATTAACACATATGACACATAAAGCCATGCAAATAAATGAACCCAAGATGAATTAACAATTGTTATATACTTACTTGCTACAGAAAAGTTGTTGAGGGGATAAGGTAAGTCCACATCTTGAGGTTTCTCTTTATAGCCTATGAATGAACCATCTGTCTTCAAAAGGAAATATCTTGGCCTCCAATTTTTTATATATTCTCCTACATGAAGAAAGCATACATTAATGCCAAAAAATGAAGTCACTTTTGTGTAACAAGTAAATTATGATATAAAATGTCCTGAACAGTGGCTTTCAAAATTTTAGTGAGGCAATTTTTTTAACTTGACTTACAAAAGAAACTCTATAATTAAGATTCAGTAAAAACCAAAACAGTTGTTTTTAATAATTTAATACTTTGATTACTCATCTGCACCATTTTTCCTTCAGAAAATCATTCACCTGAAGACACATTTTGTTCTTTTTTTTTACTTTATCAGACAGCTGACATAATATAGAAACTCTTAAAATATTTCTTGTCATAGATTAAGTATTAGATTTTGTCACTAAATAGAATCATTGCTAACTGATTCATAATCAGCAATGTACTTATTTAGGTATATTCACTTAATCATAAAACATTAATAAGTATATATTATCAACAAAAGTCTTTCAAACTAGTGACAGGTATATAAATATTTTTAATATCTCTTTTTATTATTTTAATCCATATGTGGGGCGCATATATATATATAGTGACTGCAGATACCCCCAGGGTCCAGAATAGGGTGTCAAATCCCATGGAGCTGGAAACAGGTAGTTTAGCACATATTGACAGGAGTGTTGGAAACCAAACTGCAATCCTCTCAAGAGTAGTGCATGCTTTTAAACAGAATAGTTATCTCTAGCCATGAAATACTGTTACTAACCAAAAGGGGGGGGGACAGAGAGAGACAGAGAGAGAACGAGAACTATGCCATATACAGTATCTAACTACAGCATTAGTTCAAATCATATTACTTCTTGAAGACAAAGATAAAATAGCAGAAAGGCAAACAGAAGTCTCAGAGCTTTCACAACTTTTTTCCTTTATTGATGGGATTTTCTTATACCGTCCAGGCTTGGCTTGAACTAAGCTCAGCAATCCTCTAGCTTTAGCCTCCCCCCCTGCTCTTTATGAACAATTTTTATGAACTGATAAACATAAATGATATTTTAAGAATTTCTAGGAGCTTAGGAGATGGCTCAGCAGGCAAAGGCACTTGCTGTGCAAGCCTGTCCACAAGAGTTTAGATCCCCAGAACCTATAGAAATTTCAGGCTGTGATCCCAGCATGTGCGAGGTAGAGGCAGGAGATCCCTGGAACAATATGGCTAGACTAGCAGAATCGGCACGTTCTGGGTTCAAGTGAGAAACCCTGCCTCAGTATATAAGGCAGAGAGTAATAGGAGGAGGCAGCTGACTTTAGCCGTTAGCCTCCAAACTCACATGCTCACAAATATGTGTTCACCTGCAAACATAGATGCCACCTTTCATACTTTTGAAAGCATACATGTATGCATGTGTGCATATGCACATGCATGCACATACACACATACAATCCTAATAAATTTTGTTACACAACACACAAAAGAATCTGGCACCTTTCAGTAAAGACAAAACTTAAATCTTTCCATAAATTATCTCCACCAGTACTCTAAAATAGAAATCTTCATGGGTTTCATTTTTAACATCAGATAAAAAGGGGTTTACTGTTACCATTAGCATAAATATCTGTTTAATTTCATGGTTCACATCATATTAAACATTTAGTTATTTGTTGATAGATACAAATTAAATATAAACACGTGAGCTTCCTAGAAGAAAAAGGAGATTTCTTTCTACAGTATAATTCATAAGTAAATGTTATCCCCAAAACAAAAAATATTGTACAGTGCAGCATTATATGATAATAGCTTAATTATCTTAAAGTCAAATATTATATAGGAAAGCACATTATGTTAAGTATAGCACAACATCTGCACTCTTTAAAACTGCCTGTTGCATTTTTATGCGAAGGTGTCAAATAAGCTATAAGTGGAAGCCTGTTCATGTCACTCAGGGAGAAGAAACAGGTTTCTTATTGAACTTATCATTATCATACTTTGTAGATGTCTTTAAAACAATCCTAATAATTTTATTTTGTATTCTTCACAAAGCAATGAAGTATTATAATACTTTGTAATTTCAAAGGACTACATAAAAATGCAACTATTAAAAATGAAATTTTTGTCCTTATAAAAATGTATTATTTAAATCTAAGGGATATGTTTTATAATTAGAAGAATAGTAAATCATTCCATTAAGAATGATTATCAGAGCCGGGCGATGGTGGTGCACGCCTTTAATCCCAGCACTCAGGAGGCAGAGGCAGGCGGATCTCTGTGAGTTCGAGACCAGCCTGGTCTCTAGTTCCAGGACAGGCTCCAAAGCCACAGCAAAACCCTGTCTCGAAAAAA